GTCTACTTTCCCCAGTTGCGGCCGGCGCGTGAAAGAGCACTTGTCTCTGTCCTTGAGAACTCAGATGGATCTGCATCTGCTGGCGACGTCTTCCTTTGTTCGTTTCGTCGAACATGAGATGGGAACCCTCATCAACTCCATAATAGGACTTCGGAAGGATAAAAAGTGAGATTTCCTCCAACAAATTGACCTTAAAGGCCACACGCTGGTCTTCAACAAATACAAACTCCGGTACCCTACCTCCGACAGAGACGTAGAAAAGAACTCTCTCACCTCCCGCCATATCATCCGCCTCCACACCTTTAAATCCTCCACACAAATCACCTATGGCTTCGACCAGTTTCTGACAACAGAGATGAAGAGGCAAGCCGTGAATCACCACCCTTCTAATTTCTCGATTTTTCACTGCTGAGCATGCCACTGTGAAGTACCAAATATCGATAGCTAATGTGGCGTCTCCCCATCTCTTCTTCCCTAAATCCAGAACCCGTAGAGCCTCAACCTCCGATCGTAGCCTGAACAACAAAAGACCGTCTGGTAGGGATGATACCTTCACCCTTCTCGAAACCTTCCAAGCCTTCGTCGCCCACTTCTCAATCCCCTCAATACATCCCACTTCTCGATCAAAACGGCCAACCAAGTAAGATTTCAGGACAGTTTCTCGCTTCGTAATGCTTTAGTGATCAACCCTAAAAACCATGTCTTTGCCGACTGTACATCTTTTAATCTCGCCATGGAGATTGAGGCGTGTTAGTGTCGCTACTTTAAGATACGATCGTATCATAACACGAAACCTTTCCAAAGAACCCAAGGATCCAACACCAGAACAAGAAAAAGAATCAACAGACGCCGGAGTAAGAGACTCCGGCAACAGAAAGGGTAGAGTGAGAAGAGAGAAAAGTAAACATATGGTCAACGAAAAAAAATAATAATAATGATAATAAAATAAAATAAAATATTTCTTGATCTGCCTACTGTAAGCACACAATACACTTCACACACCCACATTTTGAGCATCTTGCATAATTTCATTCAACTCTTGTAAGACCTTTGCACTCTAATTCAACCCAGTCCTTTCTTCTTTCTATTATCTAACTAAAATTAATTCATCAGAGATGACCAGACTCCACAGTGGGGTGCAAAAAAAATAATAATAATGCACTACCCACAACCCCTGGTTTTGGGATGGAAATAAAGAATTGGATGCTTCTAGAAACTAAACTAATTCCATCATTTTTTTGGATAAGCCTAGACTAATTCCATCATGACTCGCCAAACAAAGCACAAATAGCTAGAACGATGAACCACACAAGTAATATTAACCTAGGATACATGGACATGCCTTAAGCGTCAACGAATCCATCTCGGACACGTGTCAGTGTCACATAAGTAATACTAACCTAGGAAGCACACACATGCCTAGAAAGTCAAAGAATCCGTGTCAGACATGCCAAAAGATGTTTCCAAAATTTTTAAAAAAACAAAATAAATTTTTTGGATACAATGTGGACACGGCACAGACACGCCATGGACCAGTGTCCGACACTGGTGTCACTTAGTTAGGGAGTTTTTAAAGAAAAAAAAATTTGAAAAGAAAGATGGATTAAAGTGTAAATATGATGATTTCTTCGAACATTTTGAATAATATGATGGTGATGAGAAAAAATATTTATAATAAATTGTTTTAAAAACAATTATTATTATTTTGTGGAGTAGATTCAATTGTGAAGTTCTTTAAAATATAAACTCATTCTTTTTATAGCTCAACAATTATTATAATTTGTGAATTTTGACTTCTGTTTCCAACTATGCCATATCTATCAGTTCGTTTGGCCATCTCCACTACCGATACTAAGCAAAAGAAAAACTTCCACATGTATATATCTAATAAAGTCAGATAAGCCTCCCAAATTCAATGCAATTTTCAAATTAAAAACTATTCACCACTTCTAGTTGTAAATGATATCCCATTAACATAGCAAGCAAGGAGTGTGCCCAATGTTACATAAACCAGTCAATTGGTCTAATTTTGATTCAAATCCGATCTGATCACTCGTACGAATTGAAGCATTTAATTACATAACTTGTTAACGATCTAAATGCAATAATCTGTCAACCAAACAAACCGGATACAAATTATAGCTGATCTGATCCAATAATAATCGATCCGTTATGAAATAATAGAAAATATGATATAATATATTATCTAATGTTATACTATATAATATTAACATATTATCATTATTGAATAGTTAACAAAATTTTAGAAGTAATAATGCCAAATGAGTGGAAAAAGAGTACCATGGTACCAATGTATAAAAATAATGGAGATATAAAAAATTGCGAAAATTATAGAGGAATTAAGTTAATGAGTATACAAAATTGCGAAAATTATAGAGGAATTAAGTTAATGAATCATACTATGAAACTATGGGAAAGGATAATCAATGAGTAGGAAAAGAAACTTCAATAACCCATAGTCAGTTTGGCAGGTAGATCCCCTATGGAATAACCTGAAGAGCATAGAAGTATTCTAAAGGGTCTAAACATGGTTTTCATAGACTTAAAGAAGGCATATGATGCCAAGAAATGTAATTTTGTGGCCCCTATGAAGAAAAGAAGTCCTTATAAAACTTATAAATCTGATTCAGGATATGTGTAGTGAAAAAGGACTAGAGTCCATACTATCTGCAAAGAGACTAGTGATCTCTATAATAGCAAGAGTACATCAGGGCTCAGTATAAAGTCTATATTTACAGTAGTTTAGATGACATGACGAAGAATATCCAAGAGGACATTCCATGATGCATGTTGTTTACTGACAACATATTTCTATTGGATACTTGGAAACAACGCGAAATGCCATATAAGCAAAAGGCCTAAAAATTAGTAGGACTGAAACAGAATACATAATCTGTGGGGTGGGGTGGGGTGGTTAGGGGGTTAGTGTACCAGAATTCATAATGTAAGTTTTTTTTTTTTTTTTTAAAAAAAAAAAAAAAAAAAAAAAAGAAGAAGTAAAGAACGACAACATAGCTGTCAGAATCCAAGACAAAAATAAAAAATAAATTAAATAAATAATTGGAGAGATAGATAATGATGTGACAAGATTGGAGCAGGGTGAAAATTGGGAAAACTAGTGGTATTCTATGTGACAAACGTAGGATAAATAAATAAGTGAGAAGAAAAAATTTATAGAACAAATATTTATTTATTTTTTTATAAGTAATTCTATAGGACAGTTTTTAGGCCAACTATATTATTTGAAGCACAATGTTGGGAGTTAAAAAAGAAACAAGAATAAAGCACTCATGTATAGAAGACATGAGTGACTAGAAAAAATAGAATTAATAAAAAAAAGATATGCAAAAATTTAGGATTGACACCTATTAGTGATAAAATTAGAGAAAGTACACTTAGGTGGTATGCTCATATAAAAAAATAAAAATAAATAAATAAAATAAAATAAAATAAAAAGAAGAAGAAGAAGAAGGACCCAATGATGCTCTGGTAAGAAATGGTAGATCTATTTGTATAGAAGGCGAGAGACAAAGAAGCTGACCAAAACTCGTGGGGTGAAACAATTAGAAATTATTTTGAAAAATTAAATATAATAAGAGACACGGCTTGTAATAGGCAAAAAAAAAAAAAAAAAAAAAAGAATGAAAAAAGAGAACTCATGTGGGCGACACCATTTATATCGAATTATGGCAACGTTTAATGAAAGAGTTCAATCCCTAACTTTCTTCTCTTTTCTTGTTCATATTTTATTTATCTTTGTCGGCTTCTATCTTTTTTTTTGATAAATAAAGATTTTATAAAAAACACTCAAAAGGGGAGCGGATCCCAAGAAAAATACAAAAAGCCACAAAGGACTCAAGCCTTCAAAGAGGCCAAAAAATCAACAATCTCCTCCAACGATCTATGATCTCTCCCTGAAACCCAACAAAAAAGAGTGGAAATAATCGAGAATTTAAGCACCGAAATTGACATCGCCTTCCTTCAAAATATCTTCTATTCCTTTCAAGCCAAATACACCACCACACACATAGCGGCGTAGCCCTCCAAGCATCCCGACTGAGAGCCCCCACAGGGCAACCTCTCCACGCCTCAATCAACCCTCTCGCAGATCCTAGCATAACCCAAGAAAACACAAATAAACCGAGCATCAAATCCCAACAATCTCTAGCCAAAGAGCAATGAATGAGAAGGTGATCCACTGATTCCTCATCACGAAGACACATAAAACAACGATTGATCACCACCTGGCTTCTCTTTCTTAATTTCTGATCATTGTTTGCCGAATAATAACAAATCAGATACGGATTCGTTCATAAATAATCAATCAGGATATATTGGATAAAAAATAATCTAGTCAAATTCTTATCACATCGAGCCTGGTCCAGTCCGAATTTGGCAAAAAAGACCCAAAAACATACAAATACATGCATTGTAAAAACAATTTGTTTCTCCCCATCCAAAAGCCCAAAAAAGAGTGTCTCATGCAGAAGAAAATTGATTTAAGCACAACAATCACAACGTAGAATTATATGGACAATTTAAGAAGTGGTGTTCACTTTATTTTACCATATTCTGGCACAATAGAAACCTCCAGGGAGGGCTAATTTTGGTCACCTTATATTATGCTTTTAAGCAGTATTGACCTCTTTGTAGGTAACCTATCAAGCAAATGCTTTTGACCATAGGCACTGTAGGTCATCAAATCAATTTACACAAGGACAGGATAAGCAGTTCTCCCTAAGCAGAAGATTCTCTTATGTGTGCGTCTATATATATATATATTGGCTTGAAAGTATGTTAACTTTCAAATATCAGAAAGAGCATCATCATCATCAACAACAACATCAATAAAGCAAAAATTCACACCATAACAGCAAAAATTCAAAGCCAACAAACCGGACAGAATAAGAGAACAAGAAATAAAGAGCTAGATATCCTGGGAGCCTAAACAAGCTAATATATTCATAAAAGTTGCCTACCATAAAAGTGAGAAATAAGCTGCACAGCAAGATGCTCCTGCCTACAATCATCACCGCTCTTCACAATAATCTATGTGAGAAACAAGAAAAAAAATGATTTACCACCACCAAAAACAAAAATGCATAGTGGTGACACAATTAGAAATCTAATATAATAACAAAATATTTTGTAGGACGGGAAAGAGAAAAGAAGAAGAAGAAAGAAAGAAAAGAGTTCAATCTATAAAGTAATCATAGGAATGATACGCAAAAAGTTATCAAGATATATGATATGACCAAAGGAAAAATAAAATTTCTAAAGACCCAACTGATACGAGTTCCATTATCATTTTCACAACATCTAAAACTAAAATAACAAAATCCTCACACAAGGTTTAACATCCCAAGGAAAAAAAATTACTGAAACAACTCACAAACCCATCCAATTATGGTGTCAAAAAAAGTTACACCATTTCTTTACAAATTTACATTGCTATATACCCCAATCAAGACATACCAAATTCCACCATTTACAGGATGTGCTTTAACGAATAATTACTCAAGAAATAAAGTCATGGTCCAAAGAGACACCCAAAACCAAGCCAAACAGTCAAGTCATCTCAATTTGGAATCAAAGAGATCGCTTAAGATGAAAAGCATCTTGATTGAAATGTAACAATAAAAATAAAAATAAAAAAATCAATCAACTTCACCGCACAATTACAGATAGCCAAGACCATCAAGCCTTTTCAGTCATGAAAAGAGACAGGTTAAGCCATAAAAATCACTTCTGTAGTTGTGGGCAATCCACCAGAACAACCAGCAAACTCTAGCTAATGAGTTTGGACTAAAATAAAAATAAATAAATAAACAATGTAGACACAATAAAAACAACTAATCTGTCATCTACCCAGGATGGACTATCTCCAAAAATCAACTGTCAACTTGACTAAACATAACAATCTTGTCTAATTAATTGGGATCGACTACATGAATGCTGCTTCACCACAACACTTTTAAAGTGGTGCTTGATAAACCAAGTTGGCATTCAAGACTTGACATGTTAAGTGACATTTGCTACTAAGCTCATATGATAATGCAATTTGAGGTATTTCTCGTAGGTGAGATATTTCTTGCCTGATAGCGTGTGTGGAGCTTTATTATAATATCCTTCTTTTTTGGTAACTTTACTTCTTCTTTTTTGGATGAGTAAGAATCGATTAGAAAAGCGTTCAAAACGGGAATACATCCCTAATACAAAAACGAAAGTGGAACCTAAGGACCAATAGAGTCCAGAAGATCAACTAAATCATTATTCGAGGAGCAATCGCTTCCTTTCACATAATAGAAAATAGAAAGAACAACATACGTTTTCAATATTGCCCCAGATGTTTCCTTTCCTTCGAAATTTCTACTATTCCTCTCTCTCCATATGCACCACCAAACACAATGTGGAACAATCCTCCAATAGTTACGAGCATGGTTTTTCACTGGGCATCGTCTCCATGCATTAATCAATCCTATAGAGGACTGAGGCATTACCCAATGGACACCAAAAATGCCAAAAATGAGGTTCCAACAATCATACGCCACAGGACAGTGCAAAAGAATGTGATCCACAGACTCCCCATCTGTTTTACATAGACAACACCAATAAACAACAGTGTTTCCTCTTTTCCTTAAATTATCCAACATCAAGATCTTACCCCAAACGGAAGTCCAAACAGAATGCAACTCTAAGAGGAGCCTTAGAGCGCCAAATAATCTTCCACAAGAAATCATGACCAACGAAATTAGACAGACAAAGGAACATGGACCGAACACCAAATCTACTATGGGTGGAAGGGACCCACAAAATGTCATCACTGACTCTGCCAACATCCTTCTGCTAATACAACAAATCCAAAAAAACACATACCTCGTCCATCTCCCAATCCTAGAAAGAACACCTAAAACGCATGTCCCACATAACTCCATTGCTATCAAGCCGATAACAGTCGGCTACGTAAGCGTGCCTTTTTTGGTAACTTTACTTACTTAGCAAAGACGAGATAATATAATTTGAGTACCACATAAAAAAATAAATTTTACGTAAAAAGTAGTCACAATTTTAAGTGAATGAAACTTCACTTATCACTTACCAATGAATACGCTCCGTGGGAATTTGTTAATAGTTTTATTGAACTGAAAAATTTTACCCTTAACAGAAAAGGTATTACAAATTCAGGACTTGACTTTGACACCTAAATTCAACTCTTAATTTTTCAGCAGTTCTATAAAGCAACAACTCAGTCCATTCAAGTTGAACAGCGTGATCTTATCTTTCCTTACTGATTTAACCCCAATTAATTTTAGTCCTCTCCTGCCACCTCAATGTGAATCATGTCACTCTTTCAAACTAATCTAGCATTTAGTTTTAACTACATATAACAAAACCATCTGGATCAGCTTTTTGTAATTTTATCTCTAACGGGTGTCCCTTCCACTGTATCACGAATGTATTCATTTCAAATTTTATCATATTCCTTATAAGGTACATCCATCTCAGCAACCCATTCTGGCCACACTAATTTAATGAACATGTTGTTTCTTCATTCTCGGCATTTTGCCGTTCCATAAAATATGACATGTTGCACTTAAGTAACACTACCCAATTCTGGGCCCATGATAGGGTCCTGGGGGGAGAGAATTTGAGACAGACTTTACTTTGATATTTCACAAAATTGCTGCTCCGAGCCTCGAACTTGCACCAGTGGCACCGATGCTAAAGCGTTTTAACCAGTTAACCAGGCAATAGCCCTCAACACATAACATGGTAGAAATAAGCCTCCACTTGACTCATTCTTTTTTTAATTCCATAAGGAATATCATCTTAGGTCTGTACCTTCGTGTGAATATCAAGGCTAAATAATGTTGGCACTAATATGGACACAAGTACGACATGATACGGACACAACGATACAGCAAATCTCAGAAAAAAAAAAAAAAAAAAAAACAAACACGGCAGGGATATGTGTAAAAAATAATAATATGATATATTATTATTATATATATGTGTGTGTGACTTTTGCTCATTTTATCTAAATTATCATGAATGCAATCACACATTCACAACTTAGAGCTGGATCGATGATGTTTTTGTTTTCTAAAACGTTATACTGTTTTCTAATTAACCTATAATATGTTCTAAAAATACATTTAAACCCCATTAAAAAAATAAAAATAAAAAAAATTGAAAAATTGTCTGTCGTGCCCTGAAAGTGTCTTAGACGTGTCATGTCCCAGACAAAAAATATATATATGTTCAAATTTTAAGACACTTCTAGCGTGTCGGGCACGTGTCCGACCATGTTCCACGGTGTTCAGATGTGTCCAACACGACCACGACATCCCAAGAGGAGTGTCTAGACTGCTAATTTTAACATGTCCAAGTTCAACACAGCCAAGACATCCCAAGAGACTCGTCCATGCTTCCTAGGTATCTCTTGGCTAATAATTTTAATATACTTCCTTCTGTATTCCTATGCTTACTAATTTTTAGTTTCCACTATATTTGTTTTACCACCTCATTACTCTAGGACCTCTATGATCTATCCAAACCTGTAACATCATAATGAATCATTTTGTTAGTTTATCTATAATTAGGACCAAAAAAAAAAGATAAGAATTTTATAGTGATCCCTATATAAACTACATAGTTTGAAACTTCACTTGTTATCCTACAGTTGTTGAGCTCCAATATACATTCTTTTTTTGTTTTGTTTTCTTTTTTGATTAGTAGCTCCAATATACATTCTTTTATCATGTCAACATATCTATTTGTGACTCCTTACTTTTTAAAAACCACCATATTATATCTAAAGAATAACAATCACAAACTTTTCTGTGAAAAGTGAAAACTATATGAAAATCTTTCTACTACTCTTTATACTTTTCATTGGTCTCCATAATAAGTAAATAGCTTTCATAGTTGGCCACTCAAATTATAAATCCAAAATCAATTTTCCAATACCCTTACTTCAAGTTTTTGTCATGGCTCAATCAATCTCTTTTGAAGTTTCATTTATGACTCATTAACTTGATACCGTGATAAATTATTCAACTTATAATAACTTTATTTTTATACATAGGCACTATAATAATTTTTCGCCATTCACCAGACATCTTCTCAACTGTTACGAGCTTAGTAAAGAAATCTGATAACCAGGACATCTCATCTTCCTCTATAAACATTTCCATGTACCAATAAAAGTACCCTTTGCTCCTAAAGCCCTTGATCTCTTTATCTTCCTTAATACATTTTTTATCTTAAGGACTGAATGCCATGATCTTTGTAAAAAAAAATGTTCTCTCCAATTTCCTTTAAAGTTATCATATTCCTTTAAACCTCAGCGTCCAGTATGATCTTCACTAAAAAAATTCTCTAAGGAAAGGTAGGATATGATGCATGCCTACAACTTTATTGTACAGAGCATTGAATTTCAATGAATTGATTGTATATCTTCTCTTCCTTTTTTCCCTTTTTTTTTTTTCTTTTTCTTTTTTCCCTTTTTTTTTTCTTTTTCTTTTTTATAAGTAACATTTCAAGGTTTCTCTATTCTGGTGTTATGGATGTGCTCCCATTCTATGCTATCATTGAGGCCATCAACAGCAGAATCCTTTCTTCACAGCAAACTATGTAGCATGAAAAAAACATGGGATGCCAAATGGCCATGATACAAACGCGCCAACTCAGAAAATAATAAAAACAAAGGCAGGCAGACAATGATAGTGATTGATTTTCAACAAAGAGGAAAAAACTAATGGGGGATTCAGGATTGTCAGAACCAGCTCATTTCCGTATAAAGAGAACACAAAAATTATAGCATTCCATAGCAAAAAATAACTTTTGTAGATTATAGGACGACCAAAATTTTTGGCATGAAAGACAAATAGAACTCATCAAGTGTTTTAAAAAAGTGCTGTGCAGCAAAGCATATATAAACATTTTTTCTTTGGGTAAGTACTATATAAACAAATTTATCCAGAATAATTCAGTTTGTCTATACCAAATAACCAACAACGCTCAGCTGAGTCAGCTCCATTTAATCTTTAAATGATACCCTGTTATTATCAATTCAAGGTGTTTGTCATTGGAAAATTAGCCATGCAGCGCCCTTGTATTGTGAGAAAAAAAAAAAAACAAAAGGGTCTATTTAAAGCAGCCTGTGTCATTGTGAACTGAAAATATTTGGGCTACTTGGGTTACATGAACTATTTAAATGTGTGCAGTACCTGTGTGTCTCACGAGACATTAAAAGGGTATGAACAGGGCGAGCATAATACAAATTGAGGCCCAAGGAAAAAGCCCTAAAGGAGGCCTTTGTCTTTGTATATATAAAAAGTAAATATGATTTAAACTCCATGATTTTTATTTAAAGTTCATTCTTCTATTTTTTGAGATGGAAAGAAAAAAAAATTAACATGTTTAAGAGTTAGGGACATTTAAAAGCAATAGAAGGGTATTTTAACTTCAACCTACGCATACAAGTCTACATAAAAGAAAAAGAGAGAGTACATTATATGATAAAGAGAGCCTACGGTTGACCAACACTAGAGAATTCTAATAGGGCCTTTCCATATGGAGTCCTAGGCAATGGCCTTAGTGACTAAAGGTGATGAGAGTCATTGGTAAGAGTATGAAATTTGTCTTACATGTCTAGAAAGAATGCACCCAATGTGCATGTCTTAAAATTCAAAGATATCATATAAATTGATGTAACGATAATTATTAATATGTTCCCTTTTTACATGTTTTCTTCGAATCGAGTGAAGTAGATCATCATAAAGACTCAAAGAGACATTAACAAACCACCTTATCCAAGGAAACAAAAGAACAATTTTATATAACCTACATATTTGGCCATGTTCCCATGTCCTTCAATATCTAGATAAATCATACAATCAGAAGAAAGACTGCACCCGACCATGTCTCTGAATTCATGTGGCATATGGTTTAGTATGCTCAACCAAAGGTTTGAGACCTTTTAAACTTCATTCCCACAATTTAAAATTAATCAATCCATCCACAAATAAAGTTAACATAAAAAAAAGGATTCTTCAATTTCACATCTCTGCTAGAAATTCATATGCACCGAGTAGAATTGAAGTGTTTATTTGAAGAAATGTAAACAATTCAGAATGAAATCAAATTCAAGTAATCAGGTAAGAATGAACTTTCAGATAGTTCATCTTTTGTTAATAATAATGTACACAATTGCATTAGTAGGCTTTCCATAAGTTTGCAGTCCATCAATGAACTGCAAATTTAATCAATTATCTCCCTTTGTACTGCTTGGGAAACCCAAAAAAAAAAAGGCACAAAAAGAAAAAAGTAAAGGATAAAGAAGGGGAAGGAAAAAAAAAAAAAAAACAAGTTAAAAACTGCAAAACTTACAGAGCGCAAATCCCAACCAGGCAATTTTCCATAAACTGAATTTTTGCGTATTCTTTCTTCCTTTACCTCCCAAAGTTCACCAGATAATGCATCACCAACCTTAGGAATACCGCCATTTGTAATCTGTTTCAAATGAAAACAATTCCCCAAGAAAACAATATTTATGCTACAACACATACAAATTATATCAACTCTCAGCAAGTATTCACCTCTGGCTTTGTGTCTGATGAATCTTGACCAGCCCCCTTCAGAGGGAGTCCAGGGGGTGCTTCTCCTTTTAATGCAGCAGCCTGCAAGACGCAACACATGAATCAATAAACAACAAGATGCATATATATACAAAACTATCACTTTAACGACAGTTAGCTAAACAGCAATTGATCCTTTGCAAGCTTGACACTTGAAGTAAAACCAAAGACTATTGTAGGAATGTGAACGAATCCACATATAGGAACATCACAATTACAGCTAGTAACAAACTCAAACTTAGGGGAGCATCTATCTATTATCACAGCTAACTCATTTGGCGCAAGAAATACAATAGTATTGCATATAGAGCATCCCAGAAATGGTGCTATCAATCACGACATATTTCATTTTACCAATATATCTTTTAAGACTTATGACATGGGGCCAGCAGGATGTTTTAGTATCTAGCATCTTATTTGGAGTCTTTTCTTAAGAATATTGCTGTATGGTCAAATACACAAAAAAAATTAGAGTTCTGGGCTTTTATTATTTCTAAGTTGGATAGGGTTTCTTATTATTATTTTTTTTGATAAGTACGTTGGATAGGGTTTCTTATAAAAGATGTTTATGTATTTTGAGGGTTTGTAAGACCTATGGCTTCATGATGAAAACACAAGGTTGACTTGAAGATTTATCAATAATGAATATTCAGAGTCTCCCTCCCTCAAAAAGTATATATATTCTCATATGTAGTTTATTCCCCACCACCCCAAAATTGGTTTGAAAAAAAAAATTGGGAGAGCCAAGTTACATAAAAAGACCATCCCTCGTATAAAGGAAAATGATAAATGTGAAGAAAGAAAATCCAAATGATTAAAAAATAATATAACTAAATGTGCCAGCACTTAAAATTTACCAATCTACAAAAATGGCACACCAAGATGAAAGACTACTATTTCATAACAATCAATATATCAGGAGTGCAAGAAAGGGAGGAGCATACAAAAAGAGCACATATCAGTTTAGAAATGAAAAAGGGACAATAGTACTGATAATGATATTAGGATGGCTAAAAGCAATTAATTTGAGGCGCGAAGGAGGCGCAACATGAAGTAGACAAAGATCACAACAAAGCTAAAACTTAAACCCAAGTCTAAATGAGGAAAAGAAATTAAATAAAACGGAACAAAAAACTTACCCTAAAAACCGAAACAACGAATCAAGATCTACATTAGGAACAATAGCCACCTACCAACCAGATCTTCCTTAGAAATAAAAATGATAATCTAAACTACTTCTTAAACAACTTAACCACTTATCACAAACCGATCAAAACACTACCATAGCACCCACACTTGTTACTTAATCCCAAAGATTGAAGCAATGATGATTCTCCAGAAAGCATCCACAAAAAAGCGTAAAGCACTTTCTTTTTTGGATTTGTCAATAAAACAGTTTAGCTGAAAATCCAGGACTCCCTGATCTGTCAGTTTCCCTAACTTAATTCCAACCAAGCGGCACTGGAAATTTTCCTCCACAAGTTCCATTCTGAAGACCTAAGTCACACAATCCTTCTCAACAGGTGTTACTCTCACGTTCCGAGCGCACTCCCGAATTCGCTCAAGTTCCCACCATTTATGACTTAATTATGCCGCTCTCACGCTCCCGCTCTTGAATTCGCTCTCGCTCCCACTCCCGCTTTATGTGACTTAGCTAAAGACCCTCCATTTTTCTAGAAACTAGTAGAAGAGACCAACACTTGGTTTGCGAACCCATCAAGAGAGCTGCATATTAGCATAATTCAGCATCCCTTAGAAAGATAAGACTTCTTTTCTGCGGCTTAATAACTTTCTGTCATAAGAATTAATAATCAGGCCCTATGCTGAATTCAGCTCCAAACTTGGCCCGCAATGCATTGCAATAGATAGGAAGCCTTATCTGCCCCACAACCCAGATCTAAAGCCAATCCCTGCCATTGTATAACTCAAACCATAAATGCTTGGTAAAACATGTCAAAATACAAATGAAGCGTCTGGGTTTGGACTCAAAAGCCCCCAAATATAGTCCATTCCCACAAGCAAACAACACATGAGAAACAGCAAGCACAAAGGCTGATTGAGTAGCCTAACACGACCATGAAATATTACCAGAGAGAGAAAAGAGGCACCCTCTCCTTTTGTTCCTCAAAATTCCCGTTACTTATTCTCCGGTCAATAAATAATATTCCATGAGATGCGCTCTTAGTACCCAACAAAACTCTAAACACCAAATCACAGATTCCAATAACCTAAACTCTAATAAAAGCCCTGAACCTCAACTTTACTTATCAAAAAAAAAAAAATTAAAGCCTTGAACCTAAACCCTAGATCTTTTTAGCTTTCCTTAGTCCATTAAGAACTTAGGCAAAACTGAATACATAAGATAGCAATTTAGGCATCAAAAATCTTGCTTTAGATACAATTTGTAGCATGAAAATAGTAAAAAGGTTGAAGGCACCAGACAAACTCCTTCGACTTGGTGCTAATAAGAGCATAACTGATGTGGAAAATTCATAAAGACTAGCTAATCAACTCAACAAGGACAAAAAAAAATACTCCCTCCGTCCCAAAATAAATGTCCCTTTTTGGGAATCTAAGTTTTTAAGAGGATGATTTTTAGTATTTTTTTATTGTATTGGTAGTGAATGAATTACCAAATCAATCCATATTGGGTCTACAGGGATGTGATGGTTTACTTTTTACAAGTCCAATCCAAGAAGGTTAAATTGGTAATGTTACAAAAAAAAAAAATAGTACTTTTTTTCAATTGGGGCATTTATTTTGGGACAGCCAAAAAGGGAAAGGTGGACATTTATTTTGGGAAGGAGGGAGTACCAGTTACCTAGGGTCAGCTACATAAATCTTATTGGCACAATGCAACTCTAATTAGGTCTCTATTCTCCACTATATCATAAAAATTGAACTCTGATTTTCTTTCCTGCCGACGTTGATCCATATCTGCTTACCTTGCCAGTGTTCTCACAGATCTTCGTTGTTAAAACTTTTCGCTTCTTGTCCACTAGGTAGTGAAAGAAATGGGCAAAAATTTATTGTTGAAGAAGATTGAGGAACTTCAAAGTGAAAACTTTAGAAAGAATGGACACATCCACATAATCAAACAGATTTCAGTGTGTAACCCCCATATTTTCTTCTTCTTTTTAATATACGAGTAACCCTCATATATTGAGGTAACACTTGGTAATTCCTGGAATGGAACGTTGGAAAAGACAAGGAAACTACCAGGCCAAGTGGGTACAAAAAAATCACACACCCTTTACTTACTACCCAAGCCAAACCAGATAACGCATCAACTATTATGTCATTACAATTAAAGGGTGGCATGGTAACATTCACAATGACAGTTATTGAAGTGAATTGACAAACACATAACTGATCCCATCCACAAAGAGAGAGAAGGTAGTTTACCATAGAGTTGGCATGTTAGGCAGGATAATTTAGCAAGAGATTACTTCTAGGAAAATAGCAATATTGAAATTAAGATTTTAAGATGCTTTTCTTCATTTCATGAACATACAATGCAAGTCCAATTCAATAAAACTCTCACAACCAAAATTCAACACCTATCATTTTGCACATTATGAACAGATCCCGACACTGATTTTGACGCCTTGTCAACCTCGCTCCACAGTATTACGTGCACACTTGTTAGGGACCCATCGTGCACACTTGTTAGGGATATGGGTCTCCTTCAAACACTTCCAGGATCATTAAGATAGGAAGACACTTTCCATCCAGAAAAGTATGTTGTGAAAAGAATCAGATATAAAATTCATTTTAGACAAGGGGATCTAAACATGAAATAAAAAATATACTGCCATTTTTAGATACTTGATGACATAAAAATGAAGTATCTTTAAGAGAGAAGGTCACACCCCTAAATGTAAGAAGTTTGAAATATTAACTTGTTAGCGTTTCAATATTGACTGACATAGGCAAGAACAGCACCTATACAACTAAGCTAAGTATTCAGAGGCCCACCTTTACTTCCTCAATAGCTACTGTACTTGGAACACGGCGATGCTCCTTCCGGCGAGGTGGTTCTTGATCCTCTATATCATCCATTCTAACCCCAGGATCTGCTGTCAGCACGACCCTCACCCACTCTAAATCATTAGCTTGTTCTGCTCCTGATGCATGAGTAATAACCTGTCCAGCTTGGCGACTTCTTGATAATAGGTCCACAGGAACAGAAGTAGATTGTAAATTACAGGGGATTCCACATTCTGAACTAAGCACTTCATTGTTCTTTGACTGGCAAGGGAATTCCTTCTCCAAAGAAAAATTCACATGAACAAATTTCACTTTGGACTCCCACGAATGAGCCATTGCCTGGTCAATTGCTTGCGAAGCGGATCTTGAGATCCTATCATAACTGCTGCGATACACATCCTGGGCAGTCCACAAAGGATATGCCCATGGCGGAGGCTTTGGCAACTGTGCATCTCCATTCGCTAAAGGAATTCCTCCTTTAGAAAGCTTTTGGGAATTGGATGCATCCTTCATATTGCTAAAAGAAGCCCAACAAAGAAAAAAGAAAAAGTTCGAAGTCAACATCTCTTCAAAAATACAAACATATTACAATAAATATAAAAATTGTGCATTTTGTCACTTATTGTAGATCAAGCATTCCCATAATTACCTAGCAGTTTCGCTTTTCAAAACTTCGACACAAATCAAGTAAGGCGCCTTTTCCCTAGAATTCAAAAGAACAGCTTCATCTTCAGGAATGTGAACCACCCGATACATTCCCTTTCCCATGGGAAAGCTCACTCCTACAAAAATTATTAAAATTATATTATGAGACTTCAGAGCTAAATATAATGATGAAACCGTCCAACAATGCTTTGAAATCCAGCCCAACTATCAATCCCTTCAACTGAATAGATTGGTTTGACAAGTTCATCCAGGTATGCCAACTGGGATGACTGTCTGTTAGTCTCATAAAAATTTCCGTATAGAAAATAGAAAAAATTTAAAAACGATATAGAAGTGAAAAACGCGATATGGGCCTCATGATTAATCTCAATTGAGTAAGAAACCTTCTAACCAGCACGAAATACAATTTCATATAAAGATTGGTTTGCTCATGCTTGTGAACGCACAAATAACTGTTATGTAGACCTTTGGTTGCAACCTTCATTAAATGCTAGACTTGCTAGTGCATACTATTTCTTTAAATTTGTTCAATTTGTCTCTGGCTGTTTCTAATCCAATGACAGACCATGTGCTGTTGACAGAGAAGGCAGGTATCTTCTAACACTTGTCCCGCAGCATATTTAAAAAGAACTTTATGAATTAAAAATAAATTAAAAAAAATCCAAATTCAAGGAAAGATTTCTCATTACCAAATGAAGAATACTTTTTCGTCGGATACTCAAAAAGAAGCACAATTGTCTGTCATTAGTTCACCAAACCATATGACATTAGCTAACCAATTAAACAGGCTGAAACGAGTCATTTAGAGCCCGTTTGCGATTGCTTTTCAACCACTTAAAGCGCTTTTATTTCAGAAAATTGTGTTTAGATGTGTTTGGTAACCATTAGAAGTGCTTTTAATGGTTACTAATTTTAGCTCAATAGAGCTTTTGAATGAAGCTAAAATTTCTAGCTTCTAAAACTGCGTTTTGAGTAGTAGAGGTTTCATATTTTAGATAACGGTTTTTCGTTAGACAATTTTATCCCTTTATATTTTTTATAACGACAATTTCATCATTTCTTCTTTTTTAAAAAAGTCTTGCTATTATCAAATATAGTAACACTCTGTTAAAGGACATTAATATAAATTTATTTATAGAAGAGCTTTAAACGATATTGTTACCAAACAAATTAAAAAGTAATTTAATTGTGAAAAGTACTTTATATAATGGATGATCAAACACCTAACATGCTTTTTACTTGACAACAATTTTTTGACAGCTCTGCAAATAAACTCACTTGTTTAATTCTAACAGCAATGTCATACGGGCCTTGATATTATAGGTTTTATTTAATTTTGGTGCATTAGGCTATCACGGTCATACAACTGAATCTGAGCCAAACCAATTCAACAGCCCAGACCAGACTAGTTCCCAAAAACCCAAGGAAGAGAGAGGGGGAGAAAGAAAGCCACCAAAAAAGCTCAAGCTCACTACAATTATGAGTGCCACACTTAAATCATAATAATTAGAAAAATTTATCAATGGCAGTACTCATTTATTACTGAAGGCCATTTTGTTCGCAAGCCTTGCTTCCATTAAAGATTGGCATTCTTCCAATACTGACCCACTTGAGTCCAAAAAAGTAGCCAAGTTGACTGTGGTTTGCAGATGATTTTATTCACCTATAGGAATTAATCTTATCTCTTTTAACTTTTTCAACGGAACATTTAACTTTTGTTTTTACTTACTGGAAAAATATATATTCAACTGCACAAACTTTTTGAATTTTCAACCAATAGTCACTGTTTGAGTTACTGGGCATTTATAACCAATGACTTGGGGGTGGCCATATCCACTTAAGTGATAACATGCTTCGCACATTACTGCTTAAATAACATATCACTCAGATTTAACAGCCCTTTGACTCATGAACCAAGTGAACACCAAGAATTAGGATCTTAATTTATTTCATTTATACACCTAATTCTAACATGTCAGAGGTTTGATTGATTTGAAGAAACTTTACAGTGGCTAATATTTATCACCCCATACTCCGACTTCTGACACTTCTTGCTATTCTTCATCTATCCACCTCCCTTGTGGCTGTTGGTGGTCAGATGTCTTCTTGACATGGCTTCTTGCAGGGGCGGCTCAACCCTTAGGCGGTTGCCTAACGCACCCGCTTGGGAAAAAGCTCCCCTACTTCTTTTTATTATTATTATTTTCAAGTAACTCTTATTTTGAATGTGACTGTCATTCTAAGTTTTTTTATTTAATTTATACTCTATCCATTTTTTATGGGAATCAAAAAAGATGAAGTTGCAAGTACCAGTGCTCAAAAAATAATTATTTATATCTCTCGTAAACCTTACTTTTGTCGTTGCTTGTTACAGAGATAATTTCAAATACTTTCCATTATCCTTTAAGAATATTAAAAAATTAAAAGAGGGAGGAGGAAGGGCGGGGGGGAAGAGTGTTTGATGGGTTTTTTGTAGGATGTGGTGTATGATTTGTGTTTGTTTAATTGTTTGTATGTAGTGATGCTGTTGTGCATTAGCATCTATAATATTTTTCAGTGTATGACGCAAGTGGTGTTTGGCCAGAAGGGAGTGAGCGCTATTATGTGTCAGTTTGTACAAATATGTTGACAGAGTGATGGAAAATGTGTTCTCGTCTGATAGAAGTTTATACGATGAGTCTTTGACATGACATTTAAGTAACTTGAGTAGAAACTCTTTGGAGTCAAAAGAACTATCCAAAGAAAAAACAGATAATGAAAAATTGAAAAAAAAAATAATAATAAATTAGTGGTAAAGGTGATAATGGAGGTTGTGATGTTGGGGGCATTGTTTAAAGTTTTCGCATTAGGCCTCCAATTGTATCAAACCGGCCTGGTTTCATGTTTATTCATTACTTGTGGAGACCCAACACTATCCTACCGGTTACATTAACCTGTGTCTGCCCCTTTCTCTTTATCTATCCACTGTACCATTATATATCTCCTTTTACATCAAACCAAGACACACTACAAGGTTTGAAGGTAACATTATTACAAATCCATCCAGACCTTTATTTCTGGATTATTGGGTGACACTTCATTTTCCGAAGTGATTATTGATGTTATCTTCACTTTAATGTCAAATTTCTATTGTGTTAACGGTAGTATCATTCATGCTTGTTACTTATTAAATCTAATTTTGCAGATTTTATTTAGAAAATTAATCTTCTGCTTGATTTGAATTTTCTTCCTATGTTACCGTTTGGTGCCTAAGCACGCTAAATTGATTGGTAGTTAAAGTAACCCTAAACTGCAAAACACTGACATAATATTGTTTTCACAATTATATATAAACAAGAAAAAAAATCTAATAGATTATAGCTTAAGACGTAGAGCAACTAGATTCAATAAGCAAATTAGAAAAACCCCCAGAGCTTATGGCTTAGGACTTTGAGCAACTAGATTCTTGGCAATCCATCTCATATAACAAGAACAGATTTCTCAAAGACAAAAACCAGCGCACAATTACATTTACCAGAACAATCTCTCATTTTCCTTTCCCCTTTACTGCCCCGTAAAGGGAAACTAAAATTGCCACTTCTTTTAGTCATGAACTTTGAACCTCTTTTTGACGGAAAGAGCAGTATCTTAACATATAATCACAGAGAAAACAAAAAAACAAAACAGGGGGGAGGAGGGGAAGGCATATTGTACCCAGAGAAAAATTCATTTAGTCAGTGAATAAGGAAATACCTCCACTATTCTGAGCGGCAGCTACATGTGCATTGATTTCCATGAGTGACTAAAAACCAAAGAATCACAAAGACAGTAATCAGATACATGTGGCAGAAGATGTTCAAGCAGACATGAAATCAATGGGAAAACCGGATGAAGCATGAAAAGTGTTAACAACCTCACGAAGAGCACTTTTGCGATCTTCAATTGGAAACACGTCCACTAACCCATATGATGTCTCACATAGTGATTGTACAAAGTCAAGTGACTCGTGATACGTCCCTTTGCGAAACAATGATGCAGCATTATTTGGAAGTGGAGGCTTCGTATTGGATTTCTCATTGTGCTGCTTCGGTGAGCCAGGACGTTTCTGCTGAATCAGAAACAGTGAACAACACTAAACATATACTTAAGACATATACTTCTGAACTGGCATGGAGGGAATGAAGAACTTTAGGACTAAAATCTATTAAAAGAGGGATAGTCAACCACTGCATATAAAAGAATCTGCAGTCTAACAAATGAAGCTATTTGTGTTCTTTATTTTAGTGATCTTAACAAGAAGTAGAAGAAACCAATCCGTGTGCACCCCTAGTCTGTGGTGTGAGAGAAATAGAAGAATTTTTGATGGTATGAAAGCTCCGATATGCGTGATAAAGCATTATATTCTGAGCTCTCGTTTTTTTTTTATGTTACAAGGAGGGTTTGTATATCTGCAAAGGATTTTGTTTATATTCTGAAAAGTTTGAGGATATAGGGTAGTTCTCTTCTTCAGTTGTTTCATGCAGAGGGCTCCCCTTCGAACACCTTTAATGAAAATCTACTTCACACACACACACAAAAAAAAAAAAAAAAAAAAACGGAATCTACAACCTACAATTATCTTGGTAATAGTTCTGAGTTTAAGTTTCAAAGAATTGATGATTACTGATGTGTGATGCAAACCTAAATTGTGGGTGGAATTCTAAGAAACTCTTAAGTGAGATTCATATATTATTTTTGTTCTCCTCTTCTTCTCTTCAACCTCCATTTCAATTGAATGTCTACCCTAACCAGTGTTATTAAAGGCGCAAGGCACACCAAGGCGCTAGAGGTCCTTTGGAGCCTAGGTGCGAAGCGCACGGCGAGGCGCGCGCCTGAGTGAAGTAAGGCACACAATTGAAAATTTAAACTACCATAAAAACATTCATATCTCATAAGTCATATCAATATTCTAAAATTAATATCAAATATAAAAAAGTAAATCCATCAACTAAACAAGCATCCAACAACCATAAAACAGAGCACAAATTTGTTTTCTTGAAAGGCAAAACAGAATTTGGTTTCTTGAATGGCAAAACAGAGCACAAAAAAAAAAAATAGAAACAAAAAAAAAAAAGATGCAGAGACAGAAGAAGTAGATGAAGAGAGAGAAGTAGACGAGACGAGGGAGAAAGTGTTAAAGCAAAAAATGAGAAGAAACAGTAGACAACACTAGTCCAGAGTTCTTTAAAATATCCTACATCACTCAATTACCAGTATGTAATGGCAACAATGACAAGGAGACTACAGAGGTTCTGGGAGGGATAGTTACAAAGGCAATTGTGGTGGCAATGACAGTGGTGTTAGAGTTTGTATTTATACCATCTCACTAAAGGTGGTAAAAGGTGGAAGCAATATTAAGCCTACGGCAATCCCAAAAGATTTATTATACACCGGAGGAAAGTGATAAAAATTGTTACAAATAACTAAAAGAGGCCTTGGTGGTATGGAAGTGGAGAGATAATGGTGCTGATAGAGGGAGAACTGTTTGGGACATTAGTTTCTTGACACACTTTCAGGATTGGGAGATCAAGAATGCCACTGGCCTTTTGGAAATGGTGCACAGACAGGAGTTTACGGGAGATGTTTCTAACTCATGGGTGTAGGTTCCTTCTTCCCAGGGTTGTTTTGGTGTTCGGTCTTTCTACAGGTGCATTACAGAATCCCATGGGGAGTCTTTCCCATGGAAGGCTATTTGGAGATCCAAGGCCCCTCTCAAAGTGGCTTTTTTTGCGTGGACTTCGGTGTTAGGGAAGATCTTAACTCAGGACAACTCAAGAAGGAGAAGACAGGTAGTGGTTAATTGGTGTTGCATGTGTAAGAGAGATGGGGAAACTGTTGATCACCTTCTTCTGCATTGCCCCGTGGCTTGGAATTGTTGGGTCTTACTGTTGAGCTTGTTTGGGGTTCGGTGGTTATGTCATATCCCCCAAAAATTTGATTGAGGCTTGACGAGGTTGTATAGTGGGGACCCAAGTCCGTGATTTTTGGAGGGTTATGCCTCTTTCCACTCTTTTTTGTTGGAGGAGATTGTTGACTTTTTGGCCTCTTTGAAGGATGGAGTCCTTTGTGGCTTTTTGTTTTTTTCTCGGGATCCGCTCCCCTTTTGAGCGTTTTTTAATAAAAATTTTATTTATCAAAAAAAAAAATAGGAGATACTTCGAAGGAAAGGAGATTTCTATGGGGGAGTTAAAATTCTCTTTTATTAGCACTCTTTTTTGTTGGGTTATAGGGAGATATTGTAAATCCATGGAGGAGATAGTTGATTTTTTGGAGAGACTGAGAGTTTAGAGGCCCTATTAGGCCTTGTGTATTTTCTGAGGGATGCGTTCCCCTTTTGAACACTTCTTTATACAATCTTTACTTATCAAAAAAAAAAAGATAATGGTGCTGATAGCAACAAAGGACTAGAATGGCATATGGCATCAAAGGTGGCAATGGCAATGATGGTGGTTGAGGTACTTTAAATCCCTCATTTTTTCCCACTTTCCTTTTGACTCTAAAGGCCTCGTTAATGGGATATGCAGACCAACTCTTGAAATTTTTAAAGCACCCATTGAGACTTCTAATTTTCAGTGAACTAAAATCAAATTCTTAAATCTGGAATACAACACCAACATTGAGGTCTATATCAAAACAAATCTAGCATTAAGGCTGCAAATGTAATCCCCACACCTCAATTGTTCAAACCAAATATAGTTATAGAAGTTTTAACAAGGGAAGGGGGGGAAGAAGAAGAATAAATGCACGACTAATAGTTTAGGAAAAGGCAGAGAAATATCTTTCTATTCAGCAAAAGAAAATAGGCATACATAGGTATTCTAAATAATTTCCATACATTTGGAATTAAGAAGAAAATTACAAAATAATTTTGAAGTTCAAAATGAGTGTAACTGATCAGCTGTTATATTACAAGGAGAGTATCAGGTTAAACCACTTGATTAAAACTTAGGATGATTCAAGAACTTGTCAAACGTTCAAACATTTGCAATACTAATATTTACCAAAGAATATCAATTGTTATATGATTAAATCACAATATGCCTCAATCATTCATCAATTATACATTGGATAAGATAGCATCAAATTCGTGCACTTCACCTACAAAAAAATTTGGTCATAACACTAGCATTTAACAAATATTTTCATTAATTTAATATATCAAAGTTAATGATTAAAAATTCCCAGCAGAATGAAACCCCAGATTCTGTAATACAATATGTTGGAAGAGGTCTAGAACTAAATTGATGACAAAAAGGTTGTGCAAGTGCTGCAGAACAATCATAAGACTTAACAAACTGAGTAGTAAACAAGAAACATACAAGAAAATTAAAAATGTACTGACCTCTTTGTGTTTCTTCAAACCAAAGAGTTCTGTGTCTTCTACAGAACGATCACGATCTCTAAACAGCTTTCGGAAAAAACTTTCTGTTCCTGGACTGCTTTCAAGGAAACTATTGTTGTTGTCGTTTGCAATTGGGGTCCTGGGATCTTCAGGATGTACACGAAACAGTCTTCGAAACAATGAAAAATCTTCTTCCTCACCATTGGCATGTCCCTTGCTTTCCTCATCAATCCTGACATTCCCTTCTTTCTTGTCCTCAAATTTTTCCTTAAAAAATTTCCGGAAAAACCCTTCATCTTCAGCAGATGTCGACACTTTTTCTTCATCATCATTTCTATCACTCCCATCTTTCTTGTCCTCAAATTTATCCTTGAAAAGCTTCCTGAAAAACCCTTCTTTTTCATCATCTTCCACTGATTTTGAAACGACTTTTTCCTCCAAATCATTTTTACTATCACGAAATAATCGCTTAAAAAAACCATCCGAGCTTGATGTGAGCTCCTCATCCTCATCCTTACTATCTCTCAAAAGCCTCCGGAAGAACCCATCCTTCTCCGAGTCCTCATCATCTTTGTCCATTGACTTCCTTGTGTCTTCATCCCGACTATCTCTTAGAAACCTTCGGAAGAACCCATCCTTCTCGGACTCCTCATCATCTTTATCCGCCGATTTCCTAAAAAGCAATGCATCCCGTACACCCGGAATAAATTTCTTAAAAATTTTGTTCTCATCGGGAGATAGCTTACTACCATCATCTTGCATAGAATTCCCCGACGAAGGAGAGAAAGAGATAGATCGCTGATTAGGTGACGACGATGTTAATGACAGTATGCGCGATGATAGTAACTTGTTAAGAACTTGGTTCTTGCTCAATGGGCTAGGGGAAGCATTTTGGGGCTGTACCAAAGGCTGCCACTCACCCATCAAAGTTGCCGCAATCTGACACTTCTCTTGAATTCGACTTATCCCATCATTATCGTCTGAGTCCTCAAGCTCTGCCATCAGAAACCAATGCACTTTCAGTGATATCTGAAGTGATTTTGAGCAGATGTCAATGACAAACTTGTCCAACGAGGGACTGGGTTTGTGAACCAACATGTAACATATCTGAAACAAGTAGCTCTCGATGCCCGACAGTGGCAGAGTGTACATTCGATTACAGAGGTAGTCTCGAACGCCAGGGTGATCATGCTTGTATAAGTAACTGACAGCAATCCACTCACAAAAAAATGCCGAGTCGAAGAAGCGAATGAGCCACCCGCTCTCTCCGCCTACGGTCTCACTCGTCGGATTGGTACGCGTGATCTCCCGAGGCAACTCGTCCGATCCTCCACGAGTCAGTCCCAAGAGCCGCACCATTATCGATCAATCTACCATCATAAACCCTGAACCTAAGCTCATTGCATTCAACTCTCTGACTCTATCGAAATAGAAACCCTAACAGCTTCAATCCAGTATTTCAATCAGATAAACTAGCCCTAACGACTTCGATCAAAACCCTAGGGATCCCCGGTCATTGCCGGAAACCCTAATTTCGAACTGAATGTGCTTAAGAAATGGTATTTTCTGGCTGATTCCTCGGGGGAAAGCAAACAAACGATTCGAGAAATTGAAAGAAAAATTCAGAGAAAAAGTTTGAATTATCGAAGAATAGAAAGATCAGATTAAATTGGTCTTACGAAGATTGGTCTGTGATGAACGAACGCGGTAAAGCAATGAGTGTGTCCGCTATACGACGTCTTTGCTGTCGTCGTCGGTCGTCCTCCTCTTTGTTGCTGTTATTGTAGAGAGAGAGAGAGAGAGAGAGACGAAGGTGAGCAAATTAGAAGAAGGGACTAATAAATTAATTAATTTAATTTAGATTTGCTATCGTGCGCAGGGTGGTGTGGGCATCCGTCCAACGTCAATGTGTGAGATTTACGTGATTGACGGCAATGTAGTACTGTGATAATTTGACGAATGAGATCTCTGAGTTGCGGTATTGAGGATGGTCACTCCGAGGTTTGTCCTTTGTATCTGTCTACAAATTAAACAGGGTTACTTTCTAATAGGAGTATATGGGTGGGTTCAACCCAATTGTCTTTTTTGATCCAATTTTGTTTAAAAATTATCATGATCGCGAGATGGGTGGAGTATTACAAATTGAAAATGAGATAAGAGAAAGAAAATTTGTAAGTTTATTAGTATTAGTTAAGAATAGTCGCATAGTGAGAACAATACATGTTATGAGAGGGCAAAGGCAAGACCAAAGTTCACGGGGCATTAAAAAAATAAAGAAAAGATAAGATGGCATATAGTTAGGGTTGCAATTTGGGTGGACTCAATTTGAATTAATCCGAGCCTAACTTGAAATTTTTTGGACTTGGTAATGTTTTCCTATTCTCGATCTGGCCTGGGCTAGAAATTTTGAGACCGAATTAAATTCAGTCTAGACATGGGTTGAAATGCTATGAAGCCCAAATCTCAGTCCGAGCCCAAAAAAGTTATATTATTTATTTATAACTAAATTATATCAAAAGAGTTTGGCAGCATATATGGCAGTGTGTGTGAGTTTTTTCTTGAAAATGTGTTGTTTGGGTCTTTAAAGCAGCACAAATTCTTCTATTTTTTTACCTCATGAATACAGGGGCGCGGGCTCATTAGGTATGGGCTAGACTTGGGTAGAATATTTTGTATATAGGCTGAGCCCGAGTTAAGTTTTCAACTCGCTCGAGTTGCAGCCCTACATATAGTTTGATGTAAGAATATGACATTAATGCTTTGTCCAGAATGAACGAAGAGAAAGTGGTGGAGGGAAAATATAATTTAATACGTATAAAGATATGATGTGATGGATGAGTAATTATTTCGCCTTCATTAATTTTGATTCCTCAAAATACCACCCTTAAAAATAAGGAAAAATAATTGAATTAGTATAAAAGTTTTAAATTACAATCGGTCTTTCATAAAATACAATAATTTAGATAATAATGGTTATAAAGGTAAAAATAATTTAAAACTCTCCTCTCCTAACAAACATAAAAGAGTTTGTTGTTGTTTTTGATTATTAATAATTATCCTTATATTATCTTTGAGAGAACCAAATCGATATTTGAATTAAATTTTTTTCAATTTCAAAATTTTTTAACTATCAACATTTTACATGAGGAGACACTAGCTAATGAATCATCACTGTATTTATTCAGCTTGGACTATAGTCTTTTCATCATTTATTAGAATCATCACTGTATTTATGCTAAAGGAGATTGTAATTGACAACAAAAAGTTAGACTTTATCTTGGTGCTAGTTCATAATCCCTCTAAAAATCTCCTTCATACAGGTAGCTTCGTATCTGATTGGTTAGTCCAAGATGAATGCTTAACTGGTTTTTCTTGGTTGGAAATTTTAGGTTAGATTTTTTTTTTTTTCAAATAAAGGTTAGATTTAACTTTCAAATTTATTAGTGGAATTTTCATATTCGCACCTCTAATAGCACATTCACCGAGAATGAAACCTTATATTTTAGGGAAATAATTATAAATTGGTAGACCTACTTTTTTAATTGGCCAATTATGCAACAAATAAGAAAGTGGAACTCTTCACTTAGTTGTATTTAGTATAAATAGTCAATTTAAATTATTCGATTAGGCAATTCACTGTAAGTATTCGGTGTGAGTATCACAACTTTATATTTTAATAATCAAATTAATTAATTAATTTTCCTAAATAATAGGAAAAATTAGAAAAAAAAAACACCATTAAATTTAGGGGTGTTCAAAAAAACCGTCGACCCAAAAAACCAAACCGGACTGAATCGAATCAGGCAGTCTGAGCCGGTTCCATAGCAGTTCGATCCGGTCACGGTTTTAAAATAATGGAACCGTGAATTTTTTGTTTGGTCCCGGATTAGGGTCATACAAAACCGAACCGACCCAAACTGCATCGTTATAATTCGTATACAAATATATGTTATATTATTTATATTATATATATATAGAGAGAGATATACCTATATATTACTCTTAACTTTGAAAGGGATTTCGGCACAACGATGAAACGAGAGCTAACATTCATCATTATCTGATATTTTTTTATTTGTTTTTGCTTCTCCCAATGTTTTGATTTTTTGGTGCAACATTCCTCTACTATCTCATTGTTTTTCTTTGCTCACGCCGCCTCATTCACTTCCACCGCGGGATCCAGTTGTTGATTAATCTCTCTCAAGTAACCTTTGAAGTTCAGTCATCATCGTCGATTTTTTTATCGCTGCCATCGATAACATCCTCTTTCTCACACTTTGTTTTCTCTCTCACTTCCATTGCACATATCTTTAAATCTCACGACGTGTTTACGCCTCAAGTACAACCAATAACGATAACAAATCAAATTTCTTAGTTTTTAACCACAAATTTGAAAATCCTTTTCACTCGCAGCAATATTCAACCTTATTTTAATTGATAGGGTTTAGCTTTTGGGTCTATTTCACCCACTTTCCCCCTTTTTTTTCTCTCTATATTTTAGTCTTGGATTCGGTAATGTGAATGTTTTTATTGATATTTTTGTTATATATACAATTCAAGGGGGAAAAAGGGAAATAAAATTCAACTAGAATCGTGGAACCAAATAGAACCAAATTGTTTTTTCATGGTTTGGGCTGGTTTGGTTTCGTGGCTCAAATGGTCTGGTTCGGTTTCAGATTTTGTAGAATCGTAGGGAGAGGTTTGGTTCAAAAAATCCTCAAAACCGGACCAAACCAAACCGTGTGCATCCCCAATTGAGTTGAAAAAAACAACAAAGAATAATGTAAGGTACATAATCATTTTCATTAGCACAATCTAATTTTTATTAAACATGAATTATATGTGGATACTTTATATGACACCTTAGATGTGGTTGCACATAATTGTGATATTAATTAGGGATGTGGTATCAATTAAAGCTTATTAAGTTCTTTGTGTGGTTACCATGAAGTTTTAAAATATGATAGTGTTATATATATATATATATTAAAGTTTCCAACACAACTCTCATATATCACACTTATTTTTTTGGGTTAATTACAACGACACCCCCTGAGATTTGCTATAATGACACTCATATACAAATTAGACGTTTTTTGAACAATGACACCCCCTGACAAAATTTGGTGCCAAACAGACCCTTAAAAGGTTTGAAAAAACAAAATTGTCCATCAATATTTAACTAATTTTAATTGTAAAATTTTAAAATGACACTTTTGCCCTTCTACTAATCTCTTCTAACCCATCAATCCAGTCCTTTCTCTCTTCATCCACCGCCATCATCTCCTCAACCACAACCTTTTAACCACGGCCACCACCACTTACCCTCAACCACATCCCGCTGCCACCTTCTCCTCAACCACATCCCGCCGCCACTTCTCTTCAACCATATCCGCCACCACCGTCTCTCTCCACGCATCAGTGATTGCACAATATCACATCTCTTATCACCACCACCATGCTTGATCTGTGCAAAAATGTGCAAAAACAAATAGAGGAGCAACCCAATCCAGATCCATTTGCATCTTGAGACCATGGTGGAAGGTTACGACGGAGGTGGTGGTGGTATCACCAGAATCAACTGAATCAGATTCATTTGATTCTTTTGCGCGATCTGAGATCTCACTTGAATCTACTCCGAGAAGCAAAAGGCTCAGAGCATTGGATTCACAAAAAGCGGCGGCAGCGAGGGTCACTGGACGGAGCTTAACGACTATAACTGAAAAACCAGCAAAACACAGCAAGACCCAGATCCAGTTCCCGACGGCGACTTCTTCAAACCTCTCGCCGACAGTCCAGAGATAGTCGTCGTTAAAGAACTCAACGATGAAATCAGCGATCTGAAATACTACAACAAGATTTCAACCGCAAGCCAAGCTCATCTATACACAGCGATCGGAAATACACACACACGATGAGTTCTGCAGGTTCAACCAAAGGAGGTAGAGGTAAGCCCAAGTCCTCCAAGAATGGCGACTAGGTATTCAAGAACAGCAGAGAGGTAAACCGGAGCACCAGCACCGACTCGTTCAGCGTACTTGCCTTGAGGAAGCTGGCGATTCTGTCGACGGGGAATTGAAGACCGACCTTCTGAGGTTCTTGAACTTGCGGGGAATGCGAAGGTTTCAATTCATTTGTGGTATTAGATCCTTGTAAACCTTGATATTGGGTAATTTTAATTTGATATAGAGGAATGAAAACAAAAATTTATTGTGAGAAAAAAAAAAAAAAAAAAAAAACTCTCTGCACCTCTTCAAGCTGCTCATGATATAATCCAACGCCAGTAAGGACGAGTCCACCAAGGACAACCACGAATGTATGAAGAACCCAACGAAAATTATGAGTGTCGGCGGTTGCTATTGGGTCTTCGATCAGTCCGCGGTTGTGTCGCCCTTTCGACACATTTTTACCGATCAGTTGTTATTGGGTCTTGTACATCTTATGAAGAGAGAAGATGGCAACATGGTTGTCCACGTAGATGAGTCGGTAGTTGTCGGTAAAAAATAGTCGGGCAGTGTAGCACTGCTCATATATATATATGTCAGGTTATGTATATATTGCTCATATTTGTATATAGAGAGATGTGAGAGGTTATTTTGGACATTTTAAATTTATTAGTATGGGTAATTTAGTAATTTTGCTATTCAAAAGTGTCCTTTCATAAGTCAAAGGGCACTTAGGTCATTTTATCACAAATCAGCCCCTCAATGGGTGTCTTTGTCAAAGGCAGCAAAGCTTAGGGGGTGTCATTGTTCAAAAGTGGGCTAACTTGTATATGGCTGTGAATAAAGTAAACCTCAGGGGGTGTCATTGTAATTAATCCTCTTTTTTTTTATTAAAAAGAATGTAGATTACAAAGTTATATAATGAAGAGATGGGACAAAAGTGCATGGGTGGTCGGGTGAGGGGTGTGGATAAGTGTGTGTGTTGGATATGTGCTAGTAAAATAATTATTATATTA